CTTTAAGTTCAGAAAGATGCTGATTGACAGCAAAACTGCAACGGCATCACACAGGGAGTTCTCCCTTTCCAGTTAAACTCGAGGTTCAGGGAACCTGAGACACGGAGCAAAAGGACATGTGACAAAGGTTGCAAAGTCAGCCTCTTTAGCACGGTAAAGTGGCTGGGAGTACCATCATATGTAATCATCCTGCAAAGAGTGATGATCCTGTACTTTCTTTTAAGCACCAGTCCACCTAATCAGAATATTGGCTCCAGGTGTGCTGCAGAACTCTCAGGCAGAGATCTTCTCTGAAGCGGGAACCCACACTCACACAATAGACCAAACATACCAGAATCCTAACACCTACTTAATGTTGTCTTTTTGGAAAGCTAAATGCAGTATTGCATCCTCATGGGAAAATGAGAAATTATGGGGAAATCCACAATGGATTAAAGGAATTATTTACTTTGCACTTCAGAACAAGCTTGATACTAGTCCAAAATTATATCCAACTCGACATGTGGAACCAACACACAAGACTGTCTGGGGGTATATTTATTTCTAAGTGGATATGTTCATCTTCATTTTCAAGTTCAAGAGAAGTTTAAAAATATATATACTGTCCTGGATTTGCTCTCATTGTAAGCCTCTTATTTCTTGTATTAATTACTGTTGTGTCGAGCAAAGATTAGCATGGCTTTTTTTCAGCAAACTATGTTGGGGAAATTACTTCTGACACATACACAAACAAAAACAAAAAAGCTATATGAAAAAATGGGGAAAACATTAAACAGGAATAAAAACATTTCACTAAACAGGCTGCCATGTTTAAAGAAAAAAATATTAAATCTTGCCTTTACAGATAAATTAAATGGAATTACTGAATTTGAACAATTGTAAGAATTTAAGGGTATTTTGAATGATTAAAGCAATACCTCAGTGTTGAATTACTGCCCATTCATTATTTCCATTAAAAGTAGTAACTCCAATTCCATCATTTTATGGTTAAAAGCAAGAAATTTGCTCAGGCGCAAGCGTCTGATTGCATCTTGATAGCTTTAATGGAAACAAGGTGTCACCATTAGAAGTGGTGGATTAGTGATTAAAAAGTGTTTATCCATGCCTCTGTATTGGCAACCTGAATCCTCTATGGCAAAATTAAAATTACGTTTCAGTCAAACACTCCAAAGCTCAAAATACAAGAAAATGTTCATGAAACCAATACATTAAATTACTTTTTCTAATTAAGGTCTGTAGAAGGAAATTACATATACAGTTGTTTCATAATATTCAAGCAGCAAACGTACTCTCAGTGTGCTTATCGTTAATTGTTTTACCAGAAAAGCAAGTGGCCTAGCTTTAATGGTGAATGTTTGGTCAAACTTGTAGGTCATCATGCCTTTATACATCTTATCTATGGATTTAATATGTCTTACTTCCTCAGATGAACTAAGACTCTTGTTTAAATTGAGGTTTTCAGGGAGCAAATTTCCACTTGTAAGAGTTCATGTTTTTTTTTAATTACTAAACTTATTGATCTGTCATTATATCTCTCAAGTGTGTTGATGTTTGTGCGTTTGTAAACTTTTTCATTGTTTTTTTTGAAGAAGCTGGATCGTAGGTTTTACTGGAGGCCTGCCTTGTGGGCTCCTACTCCAGTGCTATTTCAACAAGACAGCCCTGATCTACTGCTTGTGGGATTTTGCAGCTCTCATCTCTCCTCGCTGAGCTTGACTAAACTCGGGACACCACCCAGCTTTCAGGCAGCAGGGCCATATTGCGGTTAAGCATCACTCTTTAAAACAAATCTTGTAATAATCCATTCTGTGTCTGACACAAAGGCCTCACATCTGTATCAAAGTCGTATCCCCCTGTTGGCTGTATCCCAGAACCAGAGGTGCTGCGCACAGGGTTTGACCTCTTGTCTGAGCCTCAGCTTTGTGCCTTTGATTTGTCCAGAGCACTAAAGTTCAACAAACCATGGCACAAACAAAATTTCAACAACCCAATTTTAGCTCCTTCTAAAAATTCAGCATGGACATCCTCTTTCAGAGCCATTAACCCAATCATCTCTTCAAATAAAACCATTACAAGAGGGGCTTCTTTGACTAAAAGTACCCCAAATCATTTCAGGAACTGTTCTGCTCTACCACATCGTTCTCTAAATCCACACATGGACATAATGAAGAAGCATAATGAAACCATCCATCTTGCTGACACTAAAGGCGAGCATACAAAAGGAGCTCCCTGAAGAATAAATCATCCTCATAACTCTAGGCTGTTCCAAATCATCGTTAGAACTCTGATGAAATGCATCATGCTTGTCTGGCCTCCCAGCTTTTCCATGTTGAACAACTGGAAGATTTTGGCAGGAGATGTGAGGGACATCAAACAAAGATGTGTAGCAAAGAGTTGAAAAGGAGGATTACTGAAGATGTCTTGAGAGCTTCCCATAACTATCCCCAACCCCCTCGAGAACCAACTTCATTTGACCCTTCAAACTGATGACCTCAAGTTCAGATTTCTTCAGACATTCCTTGTATCTTCGAAAACCAAGCATGTTTCTACGGCCTGAGCCCAAACATGGTTTTATGAATATGACTTTTGCATCTGCACGTGCTAATTTTATTATCGTAAATCCAAAGATATCGATGTTTTAGTCGGCTTTGGTGGATTTGAAAGTACTTTAACTGATCTCTACATGTGATCCAGCACAGAGATTTTTTAATTCTGATTGCAAACTCAAAATAGCATGACGGAAAAAAAGCCAAGTAGTATTTACAAGATTGCTGGTTTTGTATGTGAGCACATTTATATGCCTACTGGGGCATGAGAGTGTGAGATAGCAAGGAGAACGCAGTGTTCAGCCAACGACAACCATTAGTTCCTCGTAGACAGAGGAGCCAGTCATGGATCAGGTGTGATACCTGCACCCAACATCTGCTAAATGCCAAAACAAACTCCTCCTGTAGTGGAGTTATATAACCTCTCAGCCTTTCTCTGTTTGGAAGAACAAATTATGGAAATGTAGACGTTATCACCTTTCGTCTACATGTCAGAAAAGATTAAATCTGTGTTCTACATGGAACTATTAATCCTTCATGGAGGCAAAACAGTGCTTTGTTGGGTCGATGACATCGAGCATATTCAGTCTGTTCAGTTCAGGTTACTTCTTCACACAGGGATTTTTTTCTTTTTTAAGTCGCAAAAACAGCTACCTCTGTAAGCAGACCTTTGTTAAACTTCATGCATCAAATGTGTAAAAGTTTCTCAAAACGTTAAACACGTAACAACAAAAAAAATCTCTTCCAATGATTTAGGCATCTATTTCACAATTATAAGAATAAGGTCCAAGTGACTATATTTGGACAAGAAGTAAAAGTTCTATTTAATAACTTCATATAAGTATCTTCATATATATTGTGCATTCTCCATTGTACTGAAAAATTGGCAAAAACATATCCAGAAGGATCAATAAAGCTCTTATCTTGTTTTAGATAATTCTAAAAGTACCAACTCCAAGGTTGACTCAGAAATGATGTAATGGGAATGCAAAAGCGTTTCCCGTCTTGTTCACTGAAATGTAAATTTGTTTTCTGAAATGTAAATTTGCCTAACAAATTGGCATGAACGTGGTTTTCAGTAGCAATGGAGACTCCAGAAAAATAACACCCCTTGTGTTATCTAAGGGATTATTTTTATGAGTGTAATTTTCCGAAAGTTTACATATCATACGATACAAATTAAAATTGTATGATAGAGTAACATTGTACAGCCATGTTGTTGTCCTATACAACAAATAAGTAATCATTATGGTTTGAGTTCAGCAGAATCAGGACGCTGCTGCCTGGACATAAAACGCCATTCACATTCCAAGGCGGTCCACATTCTGCAGCAGCCTTATGAGACCTGGTCCAACACTGATGACAGCATGATTAATGCACAGCTCCATTCCCACTCACACCCTCTTTGGGCTCACAGTGAGCCCACGTGGCTCACGGAAAAACCTAAATGAAGCTGCTTACATGGCAAGTAAAAGCTATGAGTTTTCATTTGAAGATAAGATGAGACACTGTCCTGCAGTAGCATATTGGTACTCTACAAAAGATGCATAATTAAAGGGGTGGGCTTTCTATGTTGAATTTCTGAATTAGTATTTTTACATGATGCGCAAGGAAAAAAAAAATTCTGCTTCAAATAACCCTTTGTGATTCTTTTTCCACTTTTCAGCTTATCTTTAAAGAATCCTTCAGCTATTTTTCTTTAACTTTTAGGTTACATTCTGTCACATTTTAGGCTATTTGTTTCTAATTTTTCACTTTTTTAAGCAACTTTTGACTCATTCATTCAGCATCAGGCACTGTCACAGCTGTTTCATAGGAACAATTATTTCTAGTTTAATTAATTATTATTGAATGACAACATTTAAACTTGTAGAAAAAAAATCAAAGCTGCAGACAACCACCAAAGCATTTAAATTCTTTTCGGACCTTTTGTCCTTTAAGGGAGTTTCTGAGAAGCAGCAAAAAAATGCTCCTTTTCAAACAACCTCTTGTGAATGTCACCTCATTCATTAAGCTTCCATAGCAGCCATAATGGAGCCCAAATTAATGAAAAAGAGAAATCCAGTAACTGCCAGGTGCTAAGTGGTCAGTGAGAGAAAAAGGAAACTGAAGTTGGCATTTCTTGTCAGTGCCAGTCACTGCCAATCCAAACTATCAGGCAACATAAACTAACCCCTTGACAAACGGTTCCAGACTGAGGAAATAACTCTGTACTGCCAAGTCTAATGGCAACCTGAGGATAGCTTTATGGAAACCATGGATTAAAAAAGGGAATTCTGTATTTTTCGTTCCTACATATTCAAATTTTATGCGATCATGGTGTCTGAAATCTCGTAAAACTTATCAACAACACAACACGCAGAGGCAGCCAAAGTTCACATATGCATATAAATTTTTTTCCATATTTTCTAAAAGGGTCCTTTTATTCTATAACAAAGTTTTAAAAATATATCACAATGTTTTACATCTGTGTAAACTCACAGTAATTTAGACCACTGTTCTTTATATTCTTTGAATAATATATCATGTGTTTTCATAAGTCAAATGCAGAATTTTAATACATAATTGTGCCACTATGAAAATGAAATAATGAAATAATACGTTTAATAACAAATCAAATCATTTTGAGATTATTCATATGTAACTTGCTCTGGATGTCTCACACAAAAAGCTTGTTGTAGCAAGCGGAACAGTACGGTTTTCCTCTCTCCTCCTTGAAAATGCCCTGGCTGAGCTGCTTCAGACTAAAGGCACACACAAAGTGTTCAGGGTGAAACTTGTTGTCCAGAGCAGTGATGCAGCGGCCGGTGATGGGTTCCCCGCAGCCCCCACACAGGGTGCCCTGCCTGGAGTGAAAGTGAAGCGCACAAAGCGGCCGACCGTCCAGCTCCATGAAACAGCCGTCGGAAAAGGGTTTCAGGCAGTCCTGGATATGACAACAACAAAGAAAGGTGGAGAAAGAGACACAGAAGAAAATGTGGCGTCAAACTGGCAGGAGGTATGTCAGACAATACACTACATATCAAGCAACAATGGGAATTGGATCTTAATGTAGTAATAGATGATGACTCTTGGGAAAACATTTTCTCCAGAAGTCACAAGGGGATTGGGAGCCAATTATACAAAGAATTTGACTGGAAGGTGAAAATGAGATTTTTCAGGACGCCACTAACAACTTTTTCCTCCAAAAACAATCCCAGCAACAAATGCTGGGGGAACTGTGGTATGGTCGGTGACCATACACATATATTCTGGGACTGCCCCAAACTGCAAACATTTTGGAAAAATGTCAAAAAAGAACTGGAAAAGATTTTGGCAGTGGATCTTCCTATGGATCCTTTGTTTTTTTTACTGGATTTGTTTCCCGACCACTTGTTTACAGCAGAACAATGTTACATACTGCATATTCTATTGATGATAGCAAGAAAAACTATTACTATTAACTGGATGAAGTCTGACCCCCCCACGACCACTCAGTGGCTACAGAAATTAAAACACGTCTACACAATGGAACATATGACTGCCCAACTACAAATGAAAGTGCCTGTTTTTCTGAGAAAGTAGACCCCAGTTATTGAATATCTTGATTAGGACTCTTGTACACTTTTACTCTATCCATGTATCACTATTATTGCTGTTATTATCAAGGCTTCATAAGATGTATGCTATACCCTCTACAGTATGACAGATTGGACCCAATTTCTGTTTTATTTTTTTTTTCATTATTATTATTTATTGGGTTTTTTTTGTGTTTACTTATTTTTTATGTTTGCCTGCCTCTTTCTGCTCCCCTGTACATGCTTGATAACCCGCATTTAAGGCAATAAAGTTAAAAAATAAAAATAAAATGGCAGGAGGTAAATGTTGTTGACATGAGTAAAGATATGCAGCTCATGGCAACATAATATAATTCATTAAGGGTACATCATTCACAACAATGATTTTCCTCTGTCTAAATCATCAATGATTACTTTTTTCCGGGATTTAACTTTTTAGTAGAAGATATTGAGGCAGATATAAAAACATACAGTATGTGTTTGCAAAATTAGGTTTTTATCTAACTTTTAACCCTGTAATGCCAAATGTATCATATTTGATTCATACGGTTTCTGAAATGTTTTGCATCTGACACCTTTTGCATCATTTAATGGTTAAAACTTTGCTCAAAATCCTATTGTACACAATCAGATACACCTGATAACAGGGGGCAGAAGACTACACGAAAAATAATCTTGACTTATCGCAATCAAAAATGTATTTCTGTTCAAACCAAAAAAAGTAATTTTCTGTTTTGTTTTTTCTTGGATCAGGCTTTAAAGGGTTAATATATATAATATTTGTACCAAGCCTAAGTGATAGTCATGCTATTTGGTCACACGTGGAAATTATAGCAAAATCCCATGGCAGTGACTTTAAAAATGAAATCCTTTAGAGCATTGGCAGCTATGCATCCTTTCCATTAATACGTACTAAAACAGGAATGGAAATAAAAGCTACTGTTGTCACAAATATGGCTGCAGGCATTTCTCTTGTCAGAGAAATATAAGAGGTTGGAAATTAGCTTTTGTTTCCACCCTATGGAGTGCTTAAGCTTTTGTCCAGTGTAGGTTTTACACAGATAGTAAGTTGCCGGTTGTGAATAATTAATGTGCTGTGTAATTCATGTTTTTTTTTGTTGCTGTATCATGGATTTTAAGTGTCGTATGCTGTTGCGCATAACTCTTTTCATTAAACAAAATTGATTGAAAACATCTCTGGAAGCTGTTTGCATTTTTACAACTGCACATGGGCAATTAAAGCCGAGGCTCAGCTGCACACTGAAACATTTTTAACCATCCGCCGCATACAGAAGAAGCTTTGAAGAGAATGTAAAAGATACCCGCGCAGAGGAATATGGTTCCCCCTGATTTATCTGCATAATTTTACCAACGACATTTTTCGCCAGCCATATGGTTTTCATCAGCCCGTGCTCAAAATTATGCGTATAAAGCAAATGTGTGGGTATTCGTCTCTCGTTCATCTCAAGGCTGGTGACCCTGAGTTGTGTGTGTGTGTGTGGTCTGAGGTATGAGGCTCACTGCACAGACGAAACACTCCGCATGCCAGGTGCCATTGGCCGCCGTCAGGTAGTTCTCCCTTACAGACTCCCCACAGCCTGAGCACTTGGGAGCAAACAGGTGGTAAAAGTCGGTGCAGCAGTACGGCTTCCCGTCCTTCTCCAGGAAGCCTGAGGATGGGCAGATAAATAAATTTAACTCCGTTCTAAATGTTCCCATCGAGGGGAAAACAAATTTTTATGCCTCACCTTCTGGCCCAAACAACTGTCCACAATGTGTGCAGAAGAAATGCTCCGGGTGCCAGTTCTGGTCCAGAGCTGTCAGGATGTTCTGCAAAACCACTCAGATAAAGTTTCTCCACTCGACTTCCTTTGAGGATTACCAAGGCTAAATCTCAGCTCGTATTTTGAAATATGAAATACCTGAAAATGTGGATGGTGGATCAGAATAGTAAATCATAGAATATGTTGCGTAAGTTCCCGATTTCTTTACCGTTTCCTTTTTTTCTTGACAACTATCAACAGCGTGTATTCATATCAGGCCAAAGAACCCCACTATGATTCTCTTTTTGTTTTTATAATGATATAGAAATATGAAAACATAACTATATTAGTGCAATATGACATTATCCAGTGTTCAGAGATTACTACGTTGAAAAGTCCTTGTAAAATCTGATAGAACAAGTGAAAAAAAGGTATGTCTGAATTAGAAAACCTATACATAAATATTTTTGTACTGGCCACATATGCTTTACTCACAAGCAAGACATGTATTTTCAGTCCAATTTTATTCTTTATGTGGACACTATACTTGAAAAAGATTTCGATCCGCCCCCCTTGCGTTGCTTTCTTACCTGCAAAATGGGGCCCTTGCAATAAGCACAACGTGGAGAGAAGAGCTCATGGTAGTCTTTGTCACAGTATGGTCGTCCCTCTCTTTCAAAGAAGCCTCTTGTGCTCAGTTCCACCTTACACGCCACACACACAAAGTGCTCCGGGTGCCACACTTCTCCCAGTGCCGTGATCATCTGGATAAATCGATTTGGAGAAGGAGCAATGTTAGACCATTTCGTACAAAATGAATCACTAAATTTGGGCACTTGGAGGCAAACGTCTCCTTTTTTTATTCCAAAGATTCCACACTGTACCTTCCCCACAATGCATTTGTTGCACGCTGCACAGTGGCCTTTAGCGGTGGTGCGTACACCGATCTTCTCCAAGTCAGAGCTCAGGCCTCCCAGCAGGTCATCTATAGCGTCTGTTTTCTGTCTTTGGGTTGTTGTGGCTCCATCCGAAGCTGCCGCCGCGTTGCCGTCCTCTTTTCTCTCATTCTGTTCATCTTCTTTTTTCTTTCTCACAGACTTCTTTTGTGTTAGTGGTGGTGTGGCTGTTGGAGAGGCTGCGTCCTAAAAAAAAAAGAAACACATATGAAAAAATAACAGTTTTTGTCAACCTATGTATTTACTAACATATGCCTAACGCTAAACAATTACCCAAGATTACATTTCTAGAGTAAATTTCTTGAATCTTGAATTTCTTACTGTGAATCAAATCACTGGGGGCCGGGGACTTTCTGTTCTCTCTGTGTACCCTGGCTTCTTCCCACAATCCAAAAACATGCTTGTTTGGTTAAATGATTAATCTAAATTGCCCAAAGGATGGACCAAGTGTGGTTGTTTGACTATGGTAGATTGGTGACCTGCCGCAATTATACAAGGAATGAGCAGGATAATGGATGGATGGATGGATGGATGGATGGATGGATGGATGGATGGATGGATGAACTGGAAGTGATTTATATTAGTACAATGCTGCCCTCTGTTGTTGAACCAGCTTAAATTCACCCATGTTTGAAAACCTGTTCTGGTGCTTCCGCTGGTTTTTCCTACCAGTGCATTTAACCAATTATTCTGCAAATCTTCAAATCTGTATCATACATGAACCGTCAGACATTTACTGACCCCTTGTGCTAGACCCATGAGATCTTCCAGGATAGACTCCAGCTCCTTTGTGGGTGATTCAGGGGTCAGCGAAGCTGCCACCGGGACAGGCAGGTCACTGTAAACATGACAGAGTCAGATACTGATGTAAAAACTCTCGAAGAGAGCCTTCCTTCAACGCTATCTCATTACTATATTTTAACTTTATTTTTACTGTATTGTTAAAATCATAAGACTGTTTCTTCATTCATAGAAATCTATTGGATAACTGTGCATCATATTGGTGCCGTTTAGTGAGAGCAACAGGCTTTTTCTTTCATAATACTACCCAGTATCCTGAAAGATACTTCATTATTAGAAATTGAAATTGTAAAATATAACCAAGTAATACTGCATTTGATCAAAAATTGTATTTTTATTTGTTGTAGGACAAAAATAAAAGCCTATGTGTGAGGGAAAAGTGAGCCTAATTGAATGTTTACTTCACAGTGCACCAATGGCTTTTCTTACAAGGAGGACACCATTTAATCTATCTGTTCTACTACTGACTACAGCTCTGTTTAAGTAATCATTTCCTTAATCGACTATTGCCAAGCTAACAGGGTGATTTAGATATATATTGCTAAAATAAAAATGTAGAGTATATATCGCATAATCATTTTTCATGTCATGTTAGGGAATCTTCTACATTTCCTTATCTCCCCCGATCTTAACAGTTTGCATTGTGTTAGAAATAATCCAATGAGTCAGTAAATTTGGTGCGCTGCTTTAGAATTTAAAGAACCTAACTGTGAACATGAGTACATTTTACTGTATTTCAACTAATTATGTGTTTCTACACAGTTTAGACAATGATATTAAGAATTAAGAACTCACCTGTAGACATTTGAGCAGACTGAGCTGTTTTTTGTACTATTAAGTCCAGCTAAATCAGGTCCTTTATCCTCCAGAGACAGAGAGCTGTGCTGACGATTCTGTCAATCAAATAGTCACATTTTAAGTAATGTGACCATTTAGTTCATTGAAAGACTTAGTTTTCATAAAATTATGTTGTTTTTTTATGTTTTTGCTTTTACCTCTCCGACAGCCGTATCGGCATTTCTGTTTTCTACTACACGGTCCGAACTTGTTGAACCCAGGGCAAGCTCCTCTAGCAGTAAATCTGTGGCAGAATACAGACCATAAATCTTTGAACATGAACGCACATGGGCTCACATGCAAAAATGAATCCATTAAAGTATTTATAAACTATTTCTTTGTCGCAGAATTTTTTTTGTGCTTGATGCAAACTGTTAAAAAAACAAAAATGTGCAGATTAAAATATTTCCTGTCAAGATTTTCAGATTGAGGTGCTGACAAACTATAATGGCTTCACACAATCCAGCTGCATCAGGAAGTGATGACATGTTGTGTTGCAGAAGTGAAACTTCTACGGTTGCAAGAATCTGGTGACAAATATTACAGCACTTTCCCTCCACAAAGTTTGGAAAAAGGGAGCAAATTATTAAATAGGTTGTTTAAGCATATGACATAGGAATAGATATGGAGAATGAGAAAAGAAAGTTAAAACGAGACGAGAAAAACTGTTGAACTTGAGGGCTAGAAATCATTTATCTTGACAAAAGTGTTTTATGTATGAGATGATCAGTTGTCTACGTTCATCTGTTTTCTTTCTTCTTTTTTCCCTTGATTCTTACAGTGAAGGTTTACTTTTCAAGAGTAAAACACCAACGTAAATGATAGACATTGCAATACGCAATGATAAATATGAGCAGTTTAAAAGCAGAGGAATGAAAATAATTGCTCATGCAAATGGTTTGCGGTGCGAACGTGTCCCTGTGATCTGCCGTAACAATCGATTCTGCGACACTCATGATTTCAACACTGGAAATATGCTGCATCTATGATCAGCTTGAGCATGAATACATCAACAGTGAAAACATGTAAGAGAAAGCTTCCTTACCGAGCTCCTCCATGACTGTTCGTTTCCCTCTGAGGCAACCAATCTTTTTGTTAATCAGGCCAAAATTGTCACTTCCTCTCAGGAAGGTTTTCTCTCGCTCATAACTGTACGAAGACCTGAGTTCTTATGACTGTCTTGTTTCCTGTTAAAGAGGAAACCTGCAAGGTTTCTGCAAACTGCTTGTATGAGTAACATGCCTTGTTTCTTTTTTTTAAGATACTGGGTAATTTTAGGGCTTTTTTTGCAGAGCTGATTTAATGTTTATTTTATAAGTCAAGGATTGTAAACATCAAGAGAAAATTCAATCATTTGCTGTTCAATGAAATGTAACACGCCAAAATACAGTACATGCGACAGCATGAATGCAGTGCCTTTGCAGTAAAACAAAAATTGCGTCACTTTTTAATTTAGTTTGAACACAATCAATGTTAAACACACACACACACACATACATATACACAGACAATTACCTTTAGCAGATATATCAGATAAGATTTTACTTAACTTTAGGTACAACTACTTTTATCAAGTTTAGAATGAAAGCTGTAACATCATGCTGTTTGGTGTGTGTTGATCCCAATTTTCTGTCTATTCAACTCAACTGGACTGCCTTTAGGTTTGTTCCTATTCTAAAAAAGGATTTTTTTTTTCTGAACAATTGACAGAATTGAAGATTCGATGCTATCTTTTGGATTTCTTAAGTAGATGATTTTTTTTTTTATTGCCATAAATGGATTGGACTAGTTAACACCGTCACTCACAGCAAGAGGGTTCCCCAGCAGTGTATGGCCTTCTGTGTACAGTTTATGTACAGTATTCTCCCCGTGTTTTTGTGGATCGAGCTTGCTCCCACCATCTCTGTGAGAAAACAGTAGTTTGAGGTTCCATTCGCACCAGGAGCTACACCACCCCTGACCACAGAAGCCGTCACCACTGGAAACCACCCCCCATCAGAGCAGACCAAGGCCCACACTCCAGCCACAGGGCAGCAGCGACCGAGATGTTGAAGATCACCATGAAAACGATCCTTCAGATAGAGCAGGAAGAACCCCCCAGTCTTAAACCTGTGTGTCCGAGTCCACATATGAGATGGTAAGCGAGTGAGAGTATAATTTAAATAGGACATGGAGCTGTTGCAGGTTGGTGTTGTAGATGAGATGGATGAAGTGCTTCTTCAAGATCTCAGACTACAGTATTTTACTGCCTTTTTTACTTTTTAAGGTAGTATTACATATAGAAGATCTCCCTCTTCAGATGCCACATAAGCTGCAGTCCCCTCCCAATTTATTTTTAGAAAGGTTTATAAAAGGGGTTTCAGACTGGACGCCCTCTTCAGATGCCAGATTTTTTTGTTTTTTTGTAATGATGGCAATAACAGTAGCAACCTTTTTTGTTTAATTTGGTGTAATGTACTTATGACTTTACATGAAGGAAAAACTGAAGGCTTCTGTCTAAACCTGAGGGGTATACAAAGAAGCCAGGGCTCAGTAGTAAAGCAGGTTAATTTAACCTTGTGGTACAGGCAGAGCATCGAAAAGCAGAGCCAGGAGTCCTAAATTATACCTGCAGGTGTATCTATTAGCAGGTTTACCATTTCCTGTTGGTTAACTAAGCCTGATTCATCACTAAACCACATTCTTAGTATACACTTCCTGGTCTAAATTTCCCTGCACTTGGTTGTGTACAATTTTAAAGTGTATAGCACTGACCTTACTTGAAGAAGGAAAACTGAAGGCTTACAAAAAGGTTGTATTTTCCGTCTAAACTTGGTCTAAATTTGTCCTGCACTTGGTTTTGTATATTATTTTAAGTTCATTTGACCTTCAAAGTTTACCAATATATAAAAAATGTAATTCAAACTGCATATGCCTTGTTTTACTTTTTACTAATACTTTTCATTACATTACTTGAGTACATGTATTTTTACAATAATTTGAATACTTAAGTACAAGACATTTCAGATACTTTAAGACTTTTAACTCAAGTAACATTTCAGTCATATTTTTGAGAGGTACCTATACTTTTACTTGACTCTGAGATTTCAGTACTTTATACAACACTGAACACGATACACAAAATAGTGAAGTTAATCTGACATGTACAGCATGTAATTTACAAACTCACATTTATGTTGAAACGTCTTTTCTAGATGTTGATAAAAAAATGTCTAAAAGTTGTTCTTTAATAAAAGGGGAAGTTTTGGGTGAGTTCTGCACAGACTTACATGTGATCTGGTTTAAAACCCTGCTCATAGTGTTTTAAATCGGGATTAACTGCAAATGCTATTAACTATGAATCACATACATTTTTTGACAGTAAGATGAAACCTTTTTGCATTTACCAGTGTACCAACAGATAAATCTCCTGTATTATTATAGTAGGAAGTTTGAGTCTTACGGATGTTTAACAACTGAATATCACCGTGATGAGTGTTTCTCAACAGGTCAAAAATGCACCAAAATTCAGGAGCACACATCTCCTGTTGAAGGAGGAGTGATGGACTGGTAAAAGAAGCCCCCAGGTAAAAGGGCTCATAAATCAAGTAGCAGAGGCTGCAAAATATTGTGAGGTATGGTTGATTGAAAACAGTCTAAGCAGCTGGATCAATAAAACACATTATGCACAGCTTCAAAATTCTGCAGAAAGATCATTGAACATACAGAACTCAGGATGAAACTCTACCAGAGACTGGACAGACCCCATCCGACAATCAACTTTTTAAAAAAGAATCCACAATGGAGATTTCAGTACCACTTCATTATTGATATTAACAGATCAATGTATGAAGATATACTGTCTCAAAAAGATGTTGTCTCTTAATTTTCTTTTGGATGAATGAGATGGTGCACGCTGTATTTTTCCAAGTGTGATAATTTAAATTAGGACAGCATGCAGGTGAAGTAGCTCCACTAGTCTTTCTCTTTGTGCCTGAAAGGGATAAGACTGAAGATTACAAAGATGATGTAGAAGACCATTGTTTGTTTCCTAAATGATTGTAGTAATTTGTTCTGTTAAGATTGCTACATATTTATATATAACGTTACACGCATATTAAGGCTTGAGACTCATAGTGGTGTGTTATGGTTATTGACAGAGGTTCCATGCCTGGTACTGTGATGGCTGCCCATGAATTGGCTACATTCGGTTTTTCACATAGTGTTTTTTCATATCCACATTGCTCTATTTACTATTTACACATGATTGTGCAACATTAAATTGCTTGCAGCTTATAATTGCAATGATGAACATCCTACACATAGCTGCTTAAGCTTGGAGACGCACTATGAGACATTTCCCAGTACATTTAGTTAAGGAGATCATTCGGAACTGACTCAGGTCTGGGGACTCTTTCTTTTTCGGAATAAGTATGCCTCCTGCCCTACACCATGCTTAAGGAATGAACCGTTTCTCCTAAACTATCCTTAGCTGTCTCCATAAGAGCTGTAGTTTATCAGATGCACTTCCATAAACCCAATTGGGGACTCCATTTGGCCTTGGGTTCATCAGCTGTTTTGATTGGGCAGAAATCGCAAATAAAATCCAAATTACATCTGCATAGCATCAGTAGAAGCCACCAATACTGAGCCAGTGTTTATGTATGCAAATTATGCAGATTTATTTCAACCACTACTAATGAGTTTGTGCAGGGGGGAAAAAAGATATTCTTCCTCCTCTGCCTAGCTCTAGCCCTGGAGACTAGGTCTGTGATCCTTCACTGAGTTGCATCTCAAACTCATAGTCCTATTTATTCCAGTGTCAGTTACCATGAAGCCTGAGTCATCTTCCACCCCTGCTCTCTCTGTCCCTAGGGATATTGTCCCCTAGATTAGTTGTATTTTTATCCTGGTAATGACTAAGCTACACCTCACTACTGCTATCATGGATTGCTTGCTCATGGTAGTACCTTTGGGGTCTTTGCCTCCTGTAAGCTCTCTTTCGAAACTGTCACATGGTCTTTCCCTTGTTGTCAGCGACCCTATTCCCAGCAGTCACTGGCTAGACTATATTTGAATAAAAAGTGAACACAAGAAACTTGTGCTACAAACAAATGGACCTGATCCAGCATCTGAATTTCAACTTCAAAGGAGCAGATCCAAATGTCTTGAGCCAGTACAATATTTACAGTATCAGTACCACAATGAATGAATGTAAACAGAGAAGTAATGCTTCACAACTATTACAAGATTTACAATTCTACTCTATGTCGTGGGTAAAAAGTCTTGTGTCTGACAGTAAATTAAAGTTCGAGGAAGACTGGGGAAAATTTTGTTTTACAGTAAAAATCAGTATCGCTCTGAAATCTTATAGTTTTACTCTGAATATTGAATAGATTATATTTTGTGTACAAGGGTCATGAGGGACTAGTGCTTTGCAGATGATGACGCACATTTATGAATCTGGTGAAAAACATATCCAGAGTTAAAAGGACCAGAGGGAACCTTGTGGCTCAATGTGATAGCATCACAATTCTTTCTTTGTCCAGCTAATAGTTCAACACATAAATGGTCAATATTGGTTTAGATGGCAAGCCAAAACTAAACACATTTTTAGATTTGGAAAACTAAAACATGAGTATTGGGATTAATTAAATGTATATTAGAATAATGACAGATCAGATTCAACAAGACTTTTAAGATAACATTTAATGAATGGAGATTTATATGGCTTAATATGCAAGGAACCTACACTAGTTTAAATAAAGACCTTATTTACTCTGGATATGTAGTCACTTAAAGAAAAATGGCCAAATATCAGGAATACCAAGTTTAATAGCGCCGTCTGATTGGAGATACAGCCAAAGTAAGCGCCTAAAGCACTTTCAAGTTATAAATTACCCTCATTCAGACTCGCAACAGCCCAAAGCCAAAGATTTCGCGAGACAAGGGTTCAGAAGTTCAGGTTCTTCTACTAACACACTCTTTATTTTTAAGCACCACACGGTGGTCACCTGTGGTGTCTCGCACCACTTTAGTTGCAACCAACAGCTCTCCAGAAGGGGTAGTAGTGTCTCTATGTGCTTGTAAAATATAGTTATAATATGTCATATTGAATTTTATACTTTAGATACACAAATTTATTTTACATTAAAAACTAACATAAAACATATATGGGTTTATATCAAAGTCAGTAACTAATATTCAACATTCTTAACTGCGACACTGCCTATATTCTTTGGTTTAGTCTCTTACCGGAAGCGTCTATGTTTGTCTGTTTACAAGAGATCGGTTTCGCTAAACGAAAGCTTTGCCGGTTTGGCCAACAGACAGCCTGAATTAGTTAATTTTTTCCAACAGTCTGATAATGGTTTTGGTCGGTTTGTCGAATTTATGAAACGCTTCCATTAACATGTCGCTTCGGAGGAGATAGAGCTAAAGACGAGCGTAGCAATGACGAGCTGGCTAACGTAGCGGCGAGGTTAGCCAGAAACGCAACTTATAGCATCTGCTAGCCGAATTCACAGCTGTCGGCACATCCAGTGTGGCGACTCTGGTATGTTCTCCTCACTACCTAACAGGTGTTCGGCGATGCGTGTCTCTCGGTAAGCTCTCGTGGTTGTTCATGTGCGGTTGCCCTCACGTTGACCCGCAGGTCCGAAGAGGAGCGCGGTCATGGGTGCGGAGAGCAGCACGGTGCGCGGCTACACTCTGCTGGGGGAGCCGCTTCAGACTCTGCCCTCCGGGCTCGCCATGTACTCGGCGACTCTTCGGGATGGAAAGCCTGCCTCCGTGTTTGTCCATAAACGTGGCAACGAAGACAAAATCAATAAAGCTGCCAAGGTGTGTGTGTCACGAGGCCTCGTCAAGGTTTCATTGATAAGAACAAAATTCAAACATCTTTCACCATCTTTGGTGACTGTGATATTAAAAAAAAAAAAAGTAATTTAAAGCATTGACAAGTAGTTTTCATCCTCATATATATATATATATATGAGTAAGTATACTCCTGATTTTACATGTCAGAGTGTTTAGTAATTTAGTTCTCTTGTAAGTCTTCCAGTTTTCCTTTCTGTAGGCATAATTATTTATTAAATTTAATAATTTCCCTCTGAGATTATTGAAGTTTTTCTGATTCTCATAATGCACCTCATCTACACCCAAAAAATATTATGCTGATTCCCTGTCATTGTATCTTGATAAGCTAGTTATATGTTTTACTTTCAATTTAAGTGCATGAGATTATGGCTATTTATAGGCATTATTAATGCAGGATAGATTCCGGTATCCTCCATTAATTCATCTCTCATCTCTTGCAGCATCTGAAGACACTCCGGCACCCATGTCTGCTGCGCTTCCTGTCCTGCTCGGTGCAGGACGGAGGCATTCACTTGGTAACGGAGCGCGTACAACCCCTGGAGCTGTTACTGGACGCGCTCTCCCCGGAGGAAATCTGCGCCGGCATCTACGACCTTCTGCAGGCACTCGTGTTTCTGCACGAGAGGGTGAGCGAGAAGAGAAGCGGGTTTGCATTAGTTATTGGGCGCTTGAGCTTTGTGTTTCTGCTCGTATTAAAAGGCGCGTCTTGTCTCCTCTCCTAGGGGAAGTCGAGCCATAACAACGTCTGTATTTCATCTGTGTTTGTCAGTGAAGATGGTCACTGGAAACTGGGAGGGATGGAGACCGTCTGCAAGTTCTCTGAGGCGACGCCAGAGGTGAGGGGTAGAATCAGATTTATCACCGAAAGATCAATTTTGAATGTGTTATCCTGTTATCCTCTTAAAGAAATGTGCTGGGACACGCATTTGTGGGCTTTCTTTGCCACATATCATCTTAAAGGTTTTGATTATGTGTTTCATTTTTAACCCCACAGTTTCTCAAAAGCATTTTCAATGTAAGGGAGGCCAGCTGTGTTCCTCCAGAAGAACAGGTGAGCAGCCTGAAGCTCAGAATGAACAGCGATCACAACTTTCCGCTGTTCAAAGGTTCACAAGAGGTATTTTGTTGGCAGGTTGAGGGCTTTAAAATTCTCCCGGACAAACATGCTCACGCTCGGGACTGTTACTCTTTTGGAATGATGCTGGAGGCCCTCATCCCTCTCCTGAATGGTTACGGTGAGCCTAAATGACCGTTTGCATCCTGACAGATTTAACCCTCATTCTGACAGGTCTGACCGGCCGTTTCCCTCATTGTTTCCAGTGTCGCATGACTTGTCCGACAGCCTGAAAAAAACCCTCCAGGCTAGACTGCTGAATTCCGATTCCTTGGCTCGGCCCCTGCTGAGCTCCTTGCTGAGTCATGAGTTTTTCAGGTTTGTGACGTTTCGTCTCTGTCGGCTCTATTCAAGCAGAAAATAATTTCCTCTCAAATGCTGTCTTTTTATTCTGGGAATAGGAATGACTTTCTGGAAGTGATGAATTTTCTAAAGAGCCTCACTCTGAAGACAGAGGAGGAAAAAAATGAATTTTTCAAGTAAGAAATGTGGTATTTATTGCACATTACGTCAACACAACAGTTTCATAAGGGACTTCTGTTTTCAAGATATCCTACTGTTAGCTTGAACATTGTTCTGGAGGCATTTTTTCAAAATCAAGCTACTTTTTCAAGCTCAAAGCGTGCCACGAATACCTAGTTTTATATTTCCAGGTTTCTATTGGACCGGGTTCAGAGCCTTCCTGAAGAGCTGACGGCTACACGTCTTGTCCCCAAACTCCTCAACTCTCTTGTTTTTGCTGAACCCATGGCTGTCAAGAGTTTCCTGCCCCATCTTCTTGGGCCAAAGAAGGGTAATATGACTATTTAGCACACTACTACTTGTAATTATCAATGAAAATGTGGAATTTAAATAGTAGATGGTGGTAAAATGACAGTTCTTTATCTCACCTGTGTGGACAGATCCCAGCCATGGTGGCAGCAGTGAAGATTGCCTGCTTCCTGTGTCCCTGTACCGGAAACACGTGATTCCTCAGCTCCTCAAGCTCTACAAAGTGAAAGAAGAGCACGTCCGGATTGTGCTTCTCGCTCACATTCACATCTACGGCCAGTTCTTCTCCCAAGACGAACTCAAAAACCAGATCCTACCTCAGGTAGGCTGTTCAAATCCGCTTCAGCTTTGAACCACGATGCCCACGAGGTTGGAGCTGAGGACGATACTGGACAGATGAGATAATGCAGTCATGCCAGAACATGAATGAATAAGTTCACTTTTACGAAACCAGAGGTTTTATATCTGGAAGCACAGACATAGCAAACCCACTTGTGCTTAAAATGTGATTAGATAATCTGTTGTTTTGTTTTTTTCCGGCTGCAGGTTTTGTTAGGCATGAGAGACACCAATGATTCTCTGGTTGCCATGACGCTGCAGAGCCTTGCAGCGTTGGTGCCCTTGCTGGGAGCTCAAGTGGTGGTAGGCGGTGAAAGAACCAAGGTGTTCAAACGCACCACACCCAACTTTACAAAGTCCACAGAGGTCAGCCCTGAAAGTAAGCAAAGGTCCATTTTTACTTTAAACCGGATAAATATTCTTGGCAAGTCTGATAGACTACTGTAGAAAGCGTCTAAGTTCAGTTCTATGTTTTACATTTAAATTCCTGCATGGGGTGGAAGAATTTTAAAGTAGTAAAGTTTAAAAAAAAGCACAAAAATTACATTTATCCTCTCAGCTGTGAAATAATTAAGCAATCTGTGCTGAGTAAGACATTTCTACCTTAATTGTTTCACTGCAAGAAAAAAAGTTTGGCGGTAATTTTGACCATTTGCACGTTGGGAAGGGTCTGATCTTATTTCCTCTCTACTCTGTAGCTTCCCCGGTCCACATCGTCGGAGCCTCCCATCCTCAGATAGCCCAGCCGTCCAAAGCGCCGAACCTGCTCCCCGGACCATCGGAATGCGAGGACACGGTCATCAGCCACGCGGGTAAATTAGCGGAAACTTTGGAGACCTCAAAAAACGTGGTGCCAACTTCAGGTAAGCTGGTCCGACACCGACAGTCCCCGTTGAGATGTTTCGGGTTCTATCGCCGCTAAAAGTCCGTCGTCTTTACTGTTTGTTCCAGGTGTCCGTAGACAGATGTCTCTGTCCCTAAACGGCTTCCATCAGGAAGGCGGGGTGCAGCCGCTGTCGCACGGCCCGGATCGGACTGAGGGACGCGCGCTGGCCGCGGAGGACTGGCCCGACTGGAGCGACCCCGAAGAGGCCGAGGGCCGGGACGGACACCCGGTTCAGATCCACATTCAGGCCGCCAACGCCCGCCAGTCGGTCAGCAGCCAGCACGCGCGCCACAGCACAGAAGAGCCGTGGGACGACTTTGAGGAGACCGAACCTACCTCGGACCTGTCCCCCACCGCTCCCTTCTCAGATCTGGTCGTTCTCACGCCGCCCAAGAAAAACGCTCTGGCCGCGTCTTCAAAACCGGCTCCGGCAGCATTAAGACTGGATTCCTCTAAACCCCTCAAACTGACCTCAGCTCCGCACCAGTCCACACAGAGAGGGAACACCTCCTTGTGGGACCACACCTGGGCTCAGGAGGAGGCAGACCCCCAGGATTGGGACAGCCCTCCCAATCCACAAACCAAAGCCGCAGTGCGACAGAAGACTGGTGGAACCAGAGCTCTGGGGGAAGAGTTTACCATCAAAGTGAAAAAAAAGACTGAGCAGGACGTGGAGTTGGATTTGTTTGCGGACATGGTGCCCGACATTAAGCTGTCCTCCTCCGCCCTGCTGCCACTAGAGGAGAGGAGCGGGCTTTCTGCAGCCTCTTCCCCCGAAACTCCGCAAATGGACTCCTCCATTCAAACGTTAGCGCTAACTGCCAAGTTTGCAGCAGCCAACCTCTCCGAGGTGAGCGTGTAGCGATCGGTGTCGTGGTTTTATTTACAGTAGCCTTTACACACAGTGCATGTAGGGATTTTTTTAACCATTCATCTGTTGAGACAAGTAAGCAAAAGTAATTCCCAACAGGAATTACTTTTCCTGTTGGTTTAGGCAGATGGTGTCACTCATTATGCTGGTGTTCATTATAACCACTCGAAGACACAAAGGCCTTCAATCATCCTTCTGTGTTTGAGACCACAACTTCTTTTTAATTAAAAATTTTGAGAAAGGCTGTTCAAAAATATTTAATTG